CAGCCGGGCCTCCTCGGTGAGGCAGTCCCATTCCACCTTATGTTCATGGAGGAACCGGGACTTCTCCCGGCTATGAGCGATAAGGGACTGAAAAGAAGATCGATGTCAAAACACAAAAACACATGAAGAAAGAGGAAAGTGAGAGGGGAGACTAAGTAAATATCCGACCAATAGGAATGATGACGTCGCACAGGATGCCCCTGGCCTAGTTTAGGACTTCTACCATAGCCAAGATCCCTTCATTGAGACTCTCTCGCTATATGCTCTCGGTAGCATCATCGAGCGAGTAGAGAATTGACGTTGGGTCTTGAGGATCCATCCACTGGAGCAGCGACTCACCCCGTGTAGGCAAGCGATTGCCTCCTGACATCAGGGCCAAGGGCGACCCTCCGCTGGTCTTCTCCACCACCGCCACGACGCCTAGGGACCCTTCGGCTATGTCTCCCTCTGTCCGGCCCGCCTCGGGCGCCGTCACCTGGGCACCATCACGGCTACGTCTAGCTGCACCTGGCTCATCACGATCGTGGTCACTTCCACTTGCGACACCGGGACCTCAACCGGCGGCGCCGCGCCCAACCCAGATGGTGCTACAAGCGCGAGCGGCAGCTCCGTCTGCTCCGACGTAGGCGGCGGAATCTCCTCCACCGCTGGATGCTCGGTGACCTCCGAGGGCGCTCCCGCAACCCCAGTGTCCACTTGACCCACCGAGGGCACGGGTGCCGCTGCGGGCTATGCCTGACCGGCCGACGAGGCCGCGATGTTGGCTCTGCTTCTACCCGAAATAGGAGCGACATCGGGCGACAGCCCTCGTCTCGCCTGAATGGCGACGCTCTTCTTGGGCGCCACCGCCAAAAGATCGTGCCGCCTCAAGACGCCGCAAAAGCAGAAAAAGCATGAGTCATGATGAAAACGGAGAAAAACATAGAAAAAAAGCAGAGGAACTGGTGACTTACATCGGCGCTGTTGGGCGGGGCCGTTTGGGGGACGACCCCCCAGGTCCCTGCTCCACCTCATTGGGGCGGGACTATTTTGAGCCTGCCCCCTGCTCCTGGGCAGAGGGGATCGCCTCCCTTGCCTCCGAGGGCGCAGCGGCGGAGCCACCTCCCTACTGCCTCTTGAAGCACAGCGGTGGGGCCACTCCCCTCCGATGGCACCTCGGGCGTGGCGGTAGAGCCACCTGCTCCCACTAGACCTGAGGATGGGCCAACGATTTGGCCCATCTTCGCTGACATTATGGACTCACTCCCTCCCCTACATGAAACAGGAAGGGTCCCTGCATGGACGAGTGGGTACCTGTCAGCGTATCCTCGCTCTCTAGGTCATCCCACTCTGTGTCGACAACTACCTCATCATCATCACTGCCTGTCTCCTCTCCTTGCTCCCGTGCCTGCAACTTCTGTTGCTTCTTCCTCCTCTCGTCCTCCTTGGTCTTCTTCTGCCACTCGGCCGCGGTGTGATTCACTGCAGCCACGAACGGGTCCTTCGGTAATGGAGACGGGCGGTCCATAAAGACGAGTCTCTTCGGCTGGTCCCCCTATCTCAATATCAGCATCAAGGGGTCGGGAGTACAAATTAAAAAGGTGGCATGGGAAAAGAGAACTTACGAAGTCAATGTACTCTGGTTCTGGCCGCATTGGGGGATGCCTCGGCACCGGATACACAAAATCAAGAATGATGCCGGCGCTATCCCGGGAAGGCTCCATCGCCTCCTTGATGTGCTACGCCACTCTAGAGGGGGAGAACGCTCCCTCGGCGAGCGCTGTCCCATCGAATGATGCTCCAGGCGCCATCAGGTGTAGGGGAAGCGCACACGCCATTAGCGGCGCCACCCTCCTCATGTGGTAGGCGTCGATGATCTCCGACCCCTTCACGCCCCTCCTTCAGAATTCAGATGGTGGCGAGATGGTCCTGGATTTTCTTCTTGTCTTTATCCGGGACCCCCCACTTCCTCCATGATTCTGGAACCTCTTTGATGAGGCGCCCGGTGAACGCTGGCAATGGGGCAACTGTGTCATCCTTGACATAGAACCAATGCAAATGCCACCCCTTGTTGGAGGTCGACAGATGCATCGGCGGATATTCACTGACCCGGTTGTTATAGAGATGGATGCCGACGCATCCCATCGGCACGCTCAACTCTTGCTTCTTCTCCCGCTTCTTAAGGAGGGTGACGGCGAAGAAATACCGCCACAGGTCAAAGTAGGGACTAATCCCCAGGAATCCCTCACACAGGGCAATGAATGCCACAATGTGTTGGACTCCGTTGGGGGTAAGGTGCTGCAGCTCCACCTTATAGTAGTGTAGTAAGCCCCAAAGAAACTTGTGGGTGGGGGTTGCGAATCCCCGCTCATGGAAGTGAGCGAAGGATACGACATACCCGTTGGGTGGTGACTGCACGTCCTCATTGTCGGGCAGCCGCCACTCCTCGATGGCAGTCCATGCGCAAAGAAGGCCACGGTGAACGAGGCCCTCCAGGCGCTGAAGGGTGATATCGGATCTGCACCACGACTCCATTGAACGATTAGGGTGGGTGGATGCGAACTTGACGGCGGCGGAGATGTAGATGGGGAAGGCTTAGGTGATTGGCGGCGAAGGTTGTAGATGCAAAGGCAAGGAGGCAATGTACGAAACCCTAGGAGCGACCCCTTGGTTTTATAGGGCGATGGATGCGAGGAAGGAAACTGTCCACCTGGATCTCCGTGCCTGCCACGATTCGCCACCACGTCACGATCGTGGGATATGCGCCCATAGTCCCTATCCTATCCCTTCGAAGATGCGCCGGACGTTTCGCCTCCCCTGGCGGACCAGGACTCTTTGCCAACAAAGGGGATATAGGTCAACAAGTGTTTTCTCCGGCCCTCCTGGGCCCAGGAGTTCGAGGGCTGGCCCATCGATGATTTTGATGGCCGTCCCAAAATAGCCTCATAATGAAGGATGAGCCCGTGAGCAGCCAAAACCCAGGCACACGAGTGCCACAAGTATCTTGACCCATAATTGAGTCTCAGCTAGGCTGACTCTTGCTAGATCCCCACGAATGGGATACCGAGACTCCAGTCGAATAATCCGATTATCAAAACACCAAATCTCACATCCATACCTACGAAGGGTCCAAATTACCCGCCCTCTGAAGAATCGAAATACCCCCGGGTGATTCTATCCGAAGCACCCGGGGGCTCGGGGGCTACACCTGACGGGTGCGCTCGCGCGCACCCTCTGGCGAATCAAAATACCCCTCGGGCGACTCTATCCAAATCACCCAGGGGCTCGGGGGCTACACCCGTCGGGTGCGCTCGCGCACACCCTCTGGCAAGTCAAATCATCATCCAGGCGATTCTATCCGAATCACCCGGGAGCTCGGGGGCTACTGTCGGGGACCAAATACTGGGATACCCAAAGAGGAGGAGCTAATAATCATCAAACGTTGATGCTTCCGAACAGACAAGAATCTAACTACACTTCTTGCCCAACGACCGAAGGTTGGCTCCGCCTCGCCCGACCCCTGAGGGCTGGACTCCGCCTCGCCCGATGTCTGGGGGCAGACTCTGCCTCGCCCGACGACTGAGGGATGGCTTCGCCTCGCCCGACGTCTGGGAGCAGGCTCCGCCTCGCCCGACGTCCGGGGGCTAGGCTCCGCCTCGTCCAACGACTGAGGGATGGCTCCGCCTCGTCCGATGTCTATGCGCTACTCCTTCAGAACTGCGCGTGCTGATAAGGCGGGACACTCAAGGCAACCGCAATACCGAGGACCATACTCTACACTCTTGTAGGAAAGTACCATCAGGATACGACAAGACATGCGCTTTAAGGCCCTTCCGAGCATGTTAGAGCCCAAATAGTGTTGTAGGCGCCGACATTTATTTTATAGCATTGTGGACGCCACCATTGGCCCTCGGGCATGGATCCTAACGGAACCATACGACAACCACTACGGTCCAAGAGAAGACTCACGTCGCTGTCCGCTCCCCATGGGGTTGCGGTTCAACATCCCGGTCCATCGCACCGCCCGTTGGGGCGGGATAGGATGTGACCACTTGCTGATTAAGTCAGAGCGTGGCATCATCAACGGACAACACCCAGCATGGAGCTATCCCTGGCACCGTCTTCCATGTAAGCACGACTGGCTAAGAGAAAAAGGAAGACCCGACACCTTTGAATGACCTTCTTTGCCTCTGGTTTTTCTTCTTTCTTCCATCTGTAATCCCTGCTTCTTCTTGATCTATAAAAGGGAAGGCATGACACCCACTAAAAAGGATCGACTCACGATTCGATTCACAGATCGATTCAACACATCACGCATCACATAACACACAGCTGAGCAGCAACCAAGCTCTCGGCGCTCTTTTTATCTCTCCATCAAAGACTTGGGACCTGTCCCTCTCTCGACCATTTATACCCCCTACTACGAATCTTTCAGTGCTAATAACACGAGCAGCAACCGCAAACTGGACGTAGGAACATTCTGCCCGAACCGGTATAAATCTTGTGTCTTTTAGCGCACCATTTGGCCAAACACGTAACAAATACAAATTTACTAGTTGGTGCTTACTCGAAACATCGACAGTTGACGCGCCAGGTAAATAACCTTTAGTTCTTTACTTTAGCCATTAAACTTTAGATTAGAGAATTCAAACATGTCCTTATTTTAAAACGGAGGAAGTATTATTTAGAAAATGGCTTTATCCAAATTTGGAGTTGTTCTAGGACAAACCAAACCTCAATAGACGACAACCAACTGTAGAGACCGGAACGTAAGAAACCCCTTTCGTGCCCCGTGTCGTACCCGTTCGACAGCCCCGTCCGCCTCAACCCCGTCCCGTAATCCATCCCCCATCCCGTTCCGTTCCACGAGTCCCTCGCTTGTCCCCTGCTCCCCCGCACCTCCTCTACCCATCGATTCGAACTCTCTCAAAACCAAAAACCGGCAGCGCACGAGAAAAAAGGGTAAAAAATCTCACCACATCGCAACGCGCCGCTCCCAAATCTAGGGTTGCTTGTTGGCCATGGCCGACCCGCCGGCCCCCGACGCACAGCCGGAGCAGGCGCCAGCCGCCGCCGCTCCCGCTCCCGCTTCCGCTGACCCTGCTGAGGACGCCCCGGTCGAGAAGCCCCCCGCGGCGCCGCTCACGCCCGAGCCGGACGCCGCTGCGGCGGCGGATGAGGTGGAGGATGAGGAGTACGTGAGCGACCCCGACGATGCGCCGCTTCCTAGGATGCGGCGCCGAGAGGCCAGCGACGACGAGGGGTCCGAGGACGGGAGGCCCAGGGCGCGGATCGGCCCTGATCAGGACGACGACGGCCAGGGGGCCCCCGAGGCGTACGACGACGAGGTGGACGAGGAGGATGAGGAGTACTACGACGACGAAGAGGAGGACGTGGTAGAGGGGTTCGAGGAGGAGTATGTAGGGCGCGCGGCACCTCCCATGGAGGACGGCGGCGGCCAGGTCTCGCGCGGAGAGGATGGCGTGACTGGGGAAGAGGGATTGCCGGAGGGGGAGGCTAAGGGCGAGGGGGAAGAGAAGGAGCAGGAGCCCTTCGCCGTGCCCACTTCCGGCGCCTTCTACATGCACGATGACCGGTTTCAGGAGGAGAACCGCGGCAGACGCAGGTGTGTGTGGATCGCTTAAAACTGCACATTCAGTTGAAGCTCATACTTTCTGTAGAGTCACAGTTATTGTTACTTAGTTTTAACTAGGGCCAGAGGTTTCGGGCCTGTTTGCTCTGTGTCCGGCATTGTCAAAACTGGCACGACCAAATTGTCTGCTCAGCTCCGAGAATTGATAATGGCATTGAACTAACTGCTGACTATTTCTAATCAAAGGCTGCAAATTTTTGTTAACAAATCTTTGTCTCTCATTAGCACTAAATAAAATGGTGATAGATTTCAGTTGAAGGGACCAAAGGCTATTGAATGAGGACAGGACTCTAATGTAAAATTAGTATTAGGCTGATATTGCCTGGAGTTCTGAACTCAAATTCTTTGCATGAAAAGGTACAGCTTTTCTTGACATAGGTGAATAGAAAAAACAGAATTTGAGAAAGCGAGGGCATTGGATTTTGTCCGCCACAATATCAGGTTGCCTATACAATCTCTGTCCTTTGTTTCAAAAGGCAGAACAGCACCGCTTCGCTGACCACATAGGCATTTCGTCTAGGTGTTTTGCTGCTTAGAATGGTTTAGGGCTTTATCTCTATGTGAGAGTGGGAGTGTGGGACAAATGGGAGACGGAGGAAGATGAACTGTGGTTGTGGAACTTGTATACCTGATAATGTTAAATTCATTGTTTTAACTAATATGACATATTTCTTCTAGCTAACATGACAATACTCGAGCTGTCTGGAAAAGGTTCAATTACCTAGGGCTGTCTGACTAGGTGCTACTGTGCTAGCCATAACCTGACCACCTCCGTAGCACCAATTGCTTTTTGAAACATTTAACTACTTACGTTCTGAGAATGAGGTCATAATGGAAAGTACAATTAATAGTTAATAATTTGTAAATGAGTAGTACTGCTATAAACGGTGCCACCTATGCAGCGCCAGGGTTTTTCTCTAGGCTAACTCCTTTTTGAACACTGTTAAAGGCTTAAGGGACCAGGGAAAAAAAATCAAAACAGAAGTACTGGAGCTGGAAGTCATATAGGAGCGATGTTAGGCAGCTCTCCCTTTTTTTGTAAATGTATGATGATACTGTAGAAAGTGTGCAGTGAAGCCTCTAACTTTGACCACTCATTAAGACGACAACATTCAATTTATTGTGGGGAAGTATGTTTATATTGATCTCATATACAAAGTAGCGGTCAAAATTTTCATATTGAGAATCGTCTCAATGTCGAAAATGTCATACATTTACCAATGGAGAGAATAATTGCAATTCAGGTACTATATTATATTAGTTTGATGGAATAAAATAAAGTCATTTGCCTTTTATTGTGGCGAGTTGCAACACTCTTCTACTGTTTCTGACTTTCTTGCATTTTATGGTTACATGGGATTGCTCTTAGCCGCCTGCTATTGAAGCGGCAGTGTGATGTCCGTCCACTGCGGAATGGGCGCCACCTAACTATGATTCGGACAACCCAAATTTCTGTCCGTACCACATTAGGCCACCCCATAGAGGACTGTTGGGTCTTCAAAGACAGGGTGGAAAGATAGTACAAGGCAGGAGAAAGAACTCTGTCGAAGAATGTGTAGCAGGATCCTTAAATTTGTGTAACCTATTGATGAAGCGTGTTAACCTCCACAACGGAGGCCTCTGGAATGGCAGTGGATGCTAGGTAGTGAGCATTGGGATTGCTTAACTGGGAAAGGAAAATGTTTGTTAGCGCTTAGTTTTGGCCTTTTTTGGGGGACAACAGTTCTGCAAGTTCAATGTTAAGTATGTTTCGTATGAATATTCAGTTACTGTGTGATAGACTGTGCTGGCAGTTGTGACATTATTTGTGCTTTTTAATTGTTTTCATGGCTGGAAGCCTGGAAATAGGTAGACTTCGGAAATGTTTTTTTTTTAATTCCTGGAAAGTGTAATTGGGCTGTTAATCATTATTCTCCTTAGATTGGGTTGACTGATTAAATTGTAGCTGTGAACATTATCACACATTTCTCAAGAGGGATTAAGCAAAAAATTGCCTGCTTATGGCTTACAGTGTAATGAGCAACTGAGCATGCCCCATCGTGTTCTACAACTGCATGCAGGGTTTAGCGCTGTAGTTTCTATTGATTCAGTTTCCTAGTGCAAACAGGCTTTGTCATAATGCTACCTGCCAGCGGATGGTAATATTTAATGCTTCATATTTATGTGCATGTGTACTGACTGTTTCTTGCCCCCTCTAAACAGGCGAATGTTTGGTGCGAGGAAGTTATGGGATGCTAAAGACGATCAAGCTTGGGTGCATGATAGATTTGAGGAGATGAACTTGCATGATGATCGCTATGAAGTAATTGCTCAAGGCCCTTAGTATGCAAAACCAAGCGCATATTTTGCTGCTAAACAAATCTCAAGGGTGCAAAAATCTTTTCTTGCAGGACCAGCGGATGTCAAGAGGCCGTTTTAGAGGTCGTGGTGGTCGAGGTAAAGCAAGAGGTGGTGGCCGTGGTTCCTCCAGAGGTGGAAAGCAGCGCAATTACCATGAAGATGGCAACAACCAAAACCGCCCCCCAAAGGTAGTGAGAGGGAGAGGACCTCAGCGTTATGAAGCTGTTGCAAGGAACAGCAGAGAGGTTGTTGGATCCCAACGAAAACAGTGAGTGATAACTATCTTGGGACATAAATATTTTTAGTCACTGGCTCACTAAGTTCACTTACACAGTTTTCTCATTGTTTGTTCAGAGCAGCTAGATTTCGAGAACCTGCTCCAAATGCTGCAGCAGCCAGAGATTCTGGTCAAGTTTCACATGCACAGCCAGAGGCTGCCCCTCCCAAAAAGAATGTCATCAGTTCAAGCCTAAATTCTGCGTCCCCACCATTTTATCCCTCTGGTGCATCTACTCAAGATTTTCCAGTAGCAGCTCAAAGGAGGGACGTACAAACAGGGGGTTCTAATAAGATTCCTCCATCTTCCATTAAGATGGATGATAACTCAAAGCTACAATCTGGTTCAATGGTTAGAGGGAGAACATCCATGGATTATGGTGGGCGTGATAGGTTTCATGCTGATGGTCCTGTTAGGTCATCCCTTGGAAGGGCGCCGACGACATCACTGAATTCAGGATTCACATCATCATCGGTTAATCCTGGCCAATCCCCTATTGTCAGGGCTTCAGGGGGCAATTCAAACATCGGAATATCTTCAAATAATCAGCCCACTTCATCGCTTCACCAAACGTCAAGAATTTCTACACAGCCACAAAGTCATGGATCAGTGATGCACCAGAAGTCAGGGCAAGTGCAGAATCAGTCTGCAGCAAGAATCCCAACTCAGCAATTGAGCCATCGGACTAGCAATTCGTCACCAGCGGCTCAGCATCTACCTGTTAAATCAACAGAAAGTGGCGAGAACGGTTCACATCCTAGTCTGAATAATTCAAAGGCAGCTTCTGCGGTGGTAAAAGCCAATAGCCAGGAAACTGGAATGGGTTCATTTATGTATGGTGGCGCCCAAGTTATTGGGGCCGCTGGTCTTTCCCAGGGCGATCAAAATTTTCCTGGCACTCCAGCTCTGCTGCCAGGTTTGCTTCCTTCATCATTCAGTTCACTTTATTTTTCTTTACTGTTTTGATCATTATTTTCAGTTTTCTTATAACCACTTCAACTGATCCATTACCTATTTCCCCTCCTGTAATGTAATGCAGTGATGCAATTTGGGGGTCAGCATCCTGGTGGTCTTGGAGTTCCTACCGTTGGTATGGCCCTCCCTGGCTATGTAGCTCCACAGCAGATGGGAATGGGAAACAATGAAATGGCATGGTATGTTCATTATGTCTTGCTATTACTAGTGTTTCAGTTGTATTGACATGTTGCTGTCTTATATTTGATTGTGTCTAGTGCTATGTTGCTGTTGTATATTCATGTTTGTTGAAAGTAACACTTAACTGCATGGGTTCCCTAATAAGACACTAAAATGGAGAAGCGACAGCAGTATTTGCATCAAAATCCTGTGATTATGTCCGTCCAGTTTCCCATTACTTTTCATTTGGCCTAAAAACGTTTATTTCCTTCACCTGGTAGCAATGCTTTCACTTTCATGCACTTAAATAATACAGATGGGGGCATTTAAACTCAATTTCTTGTTAGTATTAGTTTATATATTGAAGATGTGGGATCGCTGGCCTTAGATCCTTGGAGGTCTTAGGCTTTTCATGGTTGTTTATTGTTTGTAAAGTGGTGTGTTTGTTCACCTAAAATACTGCCGTGTGTGTGTGTGGAATGTGTTTGGGAGGGGTTAGTTTTTTATCTTCCCTTTGTATCTTATTTCTCGCTTAATGAAATGAAACGGCTCTCCAGCATTGTAAAAAGAAAAATCTTACTGAAAATGTTTAGACCTGTCATGTATTCTACATCACTTCTGATATGTTGACATAAAGGATTTTTCTTCTCTGACGATATAGTGGCTGGGATTGGTGCTCGTATTTCTGCATAATTTTTTTTTAACTTACAATGCTTAAAATTGGTACAGGTTGCCATTATTGGCTGGTGCAACTGGTGCTTTTGGAGGATCATATCCACCCTACATAGCCCTTGATCCGAGTTTTTACTCCAGATCTTCAGGACAGACATCATCATCAGTTCCATCCAGGTGAAATATTAAAACTTGACCTGTGTAACCATACAATTTATATAATTGCCAGGTAGCCATGCTATTTCTACCATATTTCGTAATATAAATGGCAGTGTTTAAAAGGCGAGTGTTGGGTCCACCTGGACTCCTAGGCGACAAGGCGCCACTGTTTCTGGGTACGCCTGGACGCCTAGGCGCCTTCCCCTTCCATAGTATATTAGGTCGCATCCCCCCCTCGGTGTTTGCTGCTGCCGCCCCCTTCAAGATCGGGTTGCTTTAGCCGCTCCCTTTCCAGATTGCCACTGCCACACCAGAGGGATGTTTGCACTGGACACCAGCTGGAGTTGCCTGGGATGGGTATATTGCTGCCACTTGGCCTCCCTTTCTCTCCCTGATTTTGCCACGGTGACGGGGATGCCTAGGACTTGAAACACGTTCTCCTGTATCTGTATTGAATAGTTCTTCAGCAATGCACATACTTTAGGAGGAAACTGTTTGTAGTGCTTATACATTTTCCTCCTCTTGCTCTATTGTCTGATTGTACAACAACAACAACAACAACAACAACAAAGCCTTTAAGTCCCAAACAAGTTGGGGTAGGCTAGAGTTGAAACCCATCAGAAGCAATCAAGGTTCAGGCACGTGAATAGCTGTCTTCCAAGCACTCCTATCTAAGGCTAATGCTTTTGGGTATATTCCATCCTTTCAAGTCTCCTTTTATTGCCTCTACCCAAGTCAACTTCGGTCTATTGTCTGATTGTACCATGTTTTTATTACATTATCCACAAACTTTTCTCTTGACAAAGGATTCTGAGTCTATTATTCTTACAGGGAAACTAGTGCTAATAGAGGGTCTAAATCTCCTCCTCGAAATGGTGAGTTCTACCTGCGTCTTTGTTATGCATTGAAAATAGTTTTAGCTCATGGTACAATTTTAAGCTGCTTCACTAATTGTTTGAAAAACTTGAACTGCAGATATTGGCAATGAGGAGCTTGATCAGCGCCAGAACAAGCCTAGGAGGTAAGATCCTTTTCAACATTTTTGACTTGCAAATCACTTGTATTTGTTATGCAATCTTATGCATGCTATGCTCTTGTGTTGCAGATACTCAGAGATGAACTTCAGCCAGTGAGGCATCTTGTAAGGTGGACTGCATCTGAATAAGCTGCTTATGGTTAGTTACATGTTTCGTATATTGTGTATCAACTTCTTTTTTCTCTGTGGTTAAACTTATCTGTAGCTTATTTAATATGCAGGCCCTATTTAGGCCCTTTGTGATCTCCAGTTCTGATCTGGAGCACTTTGGGTGGCTTTGGTACCCTTAATTATGTTAGGTAATGTCTTGCTTTAATGCTTTTATACATGTTTGGAGCTTATAAGAAAATGCATGTGTTTCGACAGAGGAATGTATATGATTCCGTTGTTCACTGTGCTTAATTTGAAATACAACTTCATTGTGCACACCGTCCAGCTTGTTTTTTTTTTCTTCTTTTAAATCCCATTTGTTAATTCTTTCTCAGATATATTTGTACTTTGTTGAAGCATCAATTCAATGACTAGAAGGGATTTAGGAAGAAAACTGCATTGTCATTTTATCTTGCTGGGAACATATTGTATAAGCTATCGATAACACTTTCTATCCTGATCGTGGTCATATTGGTCAGTGTGACTGTGAGGTTAGGGGGTTTGAACTTGTTAGGGTGGACAAGTGGTTTAGGGAAGCTAAAATGATGGACTTTCCAAATGAAGCTACAATTGTATCTAAATTAGACTTGCACTGCTGTGTTCCGTAAAAATTCGGATACAAATTTTGATTGCCAGTTGAGAGATGATTACATGTTTGACAGTTGGATGTACTTTGTGCATAACTGTTAGCGCTTTACATCTACCAGGTCTTATGCCTGTTCGTGCTGGGAGTTATCTGATGGGGTCACTTCACAGCAGAGCAGGGGTGGCATTCGTTACTTGAATTGTAGTAAGCATTTTGTCCCATGAAAACTACTATTAAGTTTAGTTTCAGTTTCTACAGCAATGCGACTGATGTCATCATGAAATTTCAGTTATTTCTCGGTTGTGCTGCGTCTGGAAATGTCAATTTGTTGCTGCGTCTGAAGATGTGGACGGTTGTTGAAGAGAGCTTGAAAATAATGGTTTGCGTTGGTTGATAAAGAGTTTTTTTTTTAAGTACATCTTGTTAGTGACTCCAGTTGGTGTCAGTCTACTCTGATGTACCGGGTCCGCATATAGTGGCTGCTTAAGACCAAGCTTGTATCGTTTGGAATCCGTTGAAATGTGGGTGCGGTTTGTGACTATTTTCAGCTTGAATGAGCGTGTCCAACTGTCCAACATGGATTTTTCGGTTACCTGCTTGAAAATCCAACAATAGGAATCCGCCCGTCTTTTTTACCCCGGGTGATGGAAATTTCTATTTCATGGTAAAAGTTCCAAAGAACAGTGTTCTATTCTGTAATTGGGGAATGAACCGCATGCCATCTTACTGAAGCTAGAAATGAGCAAAGTTTGAATCAAAACATTCGACGTGGTATAATTTGTTAGAAGGCTTCGTTGTTTCCTCCTGCCTACGATTGATAGGAGTTGCCGTGGCAGCATCGATACATTTTAGGCGATGTATCACGAGTTCACGACGGGTACGATGTGTACTAGTATTGTATCAAGTTCTTTGTGACCAGCTTTGCGGTAATTGTTCGTGGCGGTTGTGTAGAGAGGCCCCCTCGTGATGCTTGCTAGCTCATCTGTTTGTATCGCGCTGGTGTAGCTCATCTGTTTCTATCGTGCTGGTGCCAACTTTCTTGCCGAATATGAACATGAATTGTTCCATAGGTCACCCAATACCGACCCAGGTGGTTGGGCGGATGGATCTGCCGTTGAGCTTTCTAATGACTTCTGTTTTCTCCGGTGGTTGACCCCCCGGAGGCCCGGACATGTTAACACGAGTGAGTATCTCCTCAAGGCTGCAATCGCATCTAGAACACTGTCACAGCACTACAACAACGAAGAAGGGTTGCCGGCTATTGGCTGTGTGAATATGTATGCAGGTTGACTCTGAATATCTATATCTATATATATACACGAGTGGATCTTGTTGTGATGGCTCTGATCAAACTGTTTGCGTTTTCAGGCTTCCAGCCCGGGAAGGAGATCCATCTCATGGCCGCAAGGGGTTTCGAGAGAGTTTCACGCTGGTTCCAGCGATCCTCTGCAGGTGGTTTGAAGGACGAAGACGACCGCAGCGAGAGGAATGGCTTGCTGAGGAGCCACTTGGATCAGATCGTGCCGGTCACGGATTTTGCTGGCACGTCCAAGGCGTTAGCTGTCCATATAGAACCAAAGGTAACTTTGGAAACTCGAGTCATCTTGTGGTATATCTGGCGTTGTCTATCTCACTCTTCTCCCACGTGATAAAGTACACTGCTGCTTCTTGAACTATCCAGACCGTAGCACTGAAGGTGTCCATGCACTGCCGTGGCTGCGCAAGGAAGGTCGAGAAGCAAGTCTCCAAGCTGCAAGGTAGGCGATGAGCATATCACTGTTCAACTGCTCGTGTTCGTCCTCAGTCCTTGTATATGTACATTAACGATGCAAGAATAAGCATTCTGATGAATTCTCTTTGCTACTGGGCTGTGTCATGTGTAGGGGTCGTATCCTTCAGAGTGGAGCTGGAGAGCAAGAGGCTGACCGTTGTCGGAAATGTTAGCCCCACGGAAGTTCTGGAGTGCGTGTGCAAGGTGACGAAGCATGCAGAGATTTTGCAGGCTGCCTAGTGATCTTTCCGGTTCCGATGATACAGACAGCTGTGAATGTGCAATACATATTGCAGTAGTATCGGATTGATGTGGAGGTTAATTTGGTAGCACAAAAATACTGTGATTCTCCTTGCAAGAGAAATAAATCCTACTGTACATCATAGTAACCCGCTATATATTAGCTACCTACCCAACTGAGTATCTGACAATCGTTTTTTGCTGCTTCTTTTCACTGATTTAGCTAAAACTTTTGATAAACTGAGAGGTGAAAAAACTGAATTTGAATTGACTGGAAACCGACTAGGATTTTGGGACCTTGCCTTATTCAGATTTGAAGTTTTGAAAACTAGTTGTTCTCGGCAACTGCTGTAATAATATCAAAATAACTTTTTTAATGAAGAAAGCTTTATGAAAAATAAGGTTTCTGCCTTTGCAACAAGTTGAAATACACAACTACTTCCTCCGTTTCAAATAATAAGTTTGTTTTTCTAGATACACATTTTTTATATAGTATATATCTAAGTGTATAGCGAGAACGAATTATAATTTAGACAGGGAGTATAAAAAAGGGGAAAAATCAGCATGCACATAGCAAGACGCCAAGATCAGTGCCTCAAAGCTCCATTCCATCTAATATTCTGACGACCCGCCACCCGTCGTTCCATTACCAAGACATGACGTCATATCTGTGTAAAGTCATCGACTTTAGTGTTGCGTTAATCCTAATCTTTGTGTTTAGTTGAGAAGATGAGATTATTCTTGTTCCATGTTTGGTTTGAGGGACGATGACAGAGAGAAGCCATCACCGTTTGTTATCCGTTAGACATCATCAAGTGAGGATAATCACTCTCAGTAGCTTCTTCCTTGTTCCACACAGCGATGCCAACCCGTCCACCACCGCCCTTGACCCTAGTCGCACCATCCGCTACCGCCTTGGCCCTAGCCACGTCCACCATGCCCTCATCCCTATCGTCCTATCAACTGCCACCCCTGTCCGATGCGCTCGCAACTGCCCTCATCGACCCTAGCCCTGTCAAATGACTGATGCGGCCCTTACCGCAACCACCTGCCTACCAGGTAGTTGATTGGGCCGCCGTGGCACACCCCCGCATGAACGGGCAGGTCGAGCGCGTGAATGGCATGGTCATACAAGGTCTCAAGCCTAGGATTTTCAACCGGTTGAACAAGTTTGGTGGGCGTTGGGTCGCGGAGCTTCCCGCGGTGCTCTGGAGCTTGAGGACAACCCCTAGCCGGGCCACCGGCTACACACCCTTCTTCATGGTCTACGGTTCCGAGGCTATCCTCCCGACCGACCTCGACTATGGGGCGCCGAGGGTCAGAGCGTACAATGAGCAGGGAGCCGAGGCATCCTTCGAGGACGCCATGGATCAGCTCGACGAGGCGCGCGACGTTGCCCTCCTCCGATCGGCCAAGTACCAGCAGGCGCTGCACCGGTACCACAGCCGTCGGGTGCAGAGTCGGGCCTTCAACGTCGGGGACCTGGTGCTCCGCCTCGTCCAGAGCAACAAAAATGGTCACAAGCTCTCCCCGCCGTGGGAGGGACCGCACTCCGTCGCGGAGGTGCTCCGACCAGGCACCTATAAGCTCAAGACCATCGACGACAAGGTCTTCGCCAACGCATGGAACATCGAACAGCTACGTCGCTTTTACCCCTAGCCTATGCATATGCTTAAGAATGATATTTCTGAAATACGAAAACGTTTTCTCTTATCGGTTTCGCTATCGTTCCCTCTATCTTTAGTGACACCCGACACGGCAATGGGGGTTGGACATCACTCGAGGGCTGATAACAGTATATCTACTCAGAGACATCACTCGAGGGCCGACATGTTAAGATTTCAAAGTAAGGGCTGCAGAAACAAACCCTGAGTAAAACTGGTCGGACTGCAAGAAACATATGCCCCAGCGGCTACGATATTTTTGCTCACCAGCGTGATCAGAGTTGTTTCGTCCGCATCTCAAGCTTTATAGCCTTAACCACGGAAAGGGTCGAAACACATTAACCTTTTATAAAAAAGGACGAAGAACCAAAAGATTGTTCAACCATAGCAGAAATTAAAATATGTCCGTTTATTACAAGGTCACTATTTATCCTAACTAACTAATTTTTCAGGAGGATGATCTCATCATCTATCTTGGCAGATAAGTCATGCACCAGAGGGGCCACCTTCTTCTCGATGTCCTCTAGCTTGGCGTCAGAGTAACCGGGCGCGAAGCCCTGGCTCATCGTCTCTAGATCGATGTTCTCATAGTGAGAACGAGCGATCGCGAACGACCGATGAACGCCGAAGCGGAGTGCGTCCCTCGCCATCTCGCACGCCTGATCCGTATTCCGGACGCGCGGACCACGAGTGTAACAGAACCGTCCAATTTATAAGAGCACAAGTACAATAGCAATCACCGAAGTGATCAAACTATCATACTTGAGCCCATATAAACCCGGTAGTCCAATGAAATCACAAAGTATCTCAAATCAACCAACATACGAGCCAAGATCGTACATGATTTAACATAACAAGTCATATGTTACATCATAGTTCACAAATGGTTCACAAGTATCTCACATACATCGGAGTTCACATAGTTATTACAAACCAAGTTCAAATAGCGGAAGCAAAGTAGTTTGACATCAACATCACACTTAGTTCAAATACATGTCAGTACCACGGTCATTTCCAGCAAAAAGCATAACAGAGAGGATAACTTAGGAGTACCATGCCCCATGATTTAGTCCTCATCCACGGCAGGATGAAGGCAGTTCTTACAGTACCCATGATATATCATAGCATCTGCAACAAGAGGGAATAAACCCTGAGTACGAGAATGTACTCAGCTCGTAAACCAGAAATAATATCATACCAAGGAGTATGCAAGGCTTTATCGGTGGAGTTAGCTTGACAATATTTTGCATAAAGCTTAAGTAACATAACTTGAAGATTTAATATCTTTAGCATCAAATTGAATACCTATTCAATTAAGCATCTCTAGATTAGCTCCTATACTAGAGCAATCACGTGATTAAGCTAACAAGTATTAGTAACCATATCTAGTGTATTAATTAGAGCATCATCATAACCATCAAGTTCCATCGATTAATGCTGCGTTGCCACTGCTCAGTCAAGTTCTCACTATCCGGGAGAGACGGCGACTCGAATCGATTCCAACCAGCTGGGAAGTTATTCCTAACACAAACCCATACTTCCCCCATCGAGGTCGCGGTGGGTCATCTTTGGTCAGTGTTCGCCTAAACGGATTAAACGGCCAGTAAACGGTAAATGGTGGTAAACTGTTTTATTTAGAGGGTAAATGGAAATTAAACGGTTGACCGTTTAAACGGTAAAAAAACAGGAAAAAACGGTCTAAACAGCCTAAACGGAACGAAGATAAACATCATTAAACGGGCTAAATAGCTGTTTGAACAGCTGTTTAGGCGAACACGAGATAAATCTAGTTCAGTTTGTATAGATAAATTTGTATACTTAAGTTTATTATATTTATAAATGTATATAGTTGATATGTTACATGCATAAATATCTATATTTGGTTCTTTTCACATGCATAAATATATATACATACCAAAATAATTGATTTTTACTCGGATAAATATGTATAAATGCTAGAATACTTGATTTTTTACATGCACATATATAATTATATGTATTTTTTTTAAAGTATAAAACTGTTTAGACCGTTTAACTTCGTTTAAACACCGTGTAAACAGCCTAAACGTTAAATGAAGGGCGACCGTGTAAAGACTGTTTACCGTTTAAGAAAACATTGCCTTTGGTACAACTCAGGTACCACGGGTCTCATCAGCGCCACACCCTCAGGGATACTACTAGTATGCCAGGAAGTTTAGGCCCGGCCTACCCTTAGACTCACGCCACTGGCTCCTCGCACACCCTTACTTCCTCCAGTGTGCGCACTTTCACTTATCGGGTTCCGGCCTGAGTTGAGCTACTCGGCTTCGCGGTCAGAACGGCTTATCCGACCAACTAAGTGCTAGGCATGCGTTCAACATGACATGAGGACGTACAACGAATCTGTCCTTAACTAACACAGATGGGGATAAATAGGCACCAAGACCTCCATGCCTTGTTACTTCTCTATCACAATCCGGTCCAGTCTTCTTTTATTCATCAACACATGGTTATTTCCACAGTAGCAATTATAGTCAACCGTGATCAGATATCTACCTATATCTTACAGGTGATAGGAAATCACCCAACTTCTACCGGACTAAACATGGCTAAGCATATATTCGATCGTAGACCTACAAAGGATTCAAGATATATTTGTCTAGACAAGGAAAGTATATGCAGCAAGTGGTTCCAATCAACCCTTAGTACTTAATGCATCAACATAAAAGAACTCAAGTTGATATTTAGAAAACATAGGAGGCTAAGAATGTTCTGGGGCTTGCCTTTCAGAAACGAGGAAGATTGGTGATCAGGACACTCAGGAAGATCTTCCACGTTGACTCCTCCTTCCACCTGAACCTCCTGCTCCTGGGCTGCCTGCTGCTCCTCCTGACGCTCGGGTTCGAACTCGAGTAGCGTCACTCCTTGCAGGGAACCTATTGCATGCATATGCACAAATAAGTATCATAAATGCATAAGAGATGAGATGACATGATGAAGTGGATATGCATGAGTATGGTTATCCGCAAGATGTATGATAAGTTTAACATTCGTTGACCAAGTAGATGAATAACTTTCTTCTAGTTGATCTTTACTGAGTAGGTGCATATCTCTTCTATAGTACAATAAACATACACTCACCAAGTTTTAGTAACCTAAGGTAAAGTTGTTCATCATCAGTAGGAGGCTTAGAACCTACAACTAACAACTAATCTCAATTAGCCTAAGCATCTACACAAGCATTATATAAGACAAATAATTATAATTTGACTTAGTCATTTCCTAGACTTTAAACAACAGCTACTTATTTTGGCGATATCTGTAGTTCTACTCAACCAAATACTATGATCTTGGACT